TAACCATCCGGATCTGCTGACCCGTGCATTTGGCACAAATACGCGACTGTATAAGCAATTATGTTAATGTATTTTGGATTTGTTAATTTTCTGCATGTGTATAGACGATCAAGAATTCAGAACTCAAATATCTCTGAAAAATGTGTGCAGTGGCATTGTATCTAGTGGTTGTAGTCCCACCGAAGTAAAAATAATTTACAGGGTAAGTATGTGGGTAAAACAGCATAACAGCACTCAAGACGTAAAAATTTGAATTTGATAGGCATATAATGGCAGAGAGAATAAGGACAATGAAACAGACAAAATGGTTCACAAAAGACCAATGTTTTAACATGCAAGAGGACGTTTAAACACAAACAATTAGAGATACAAACGGTGAAAGTACATGTCAGGAGAGCTAGAAATAATGAAAAACGAAAGATATGAGACAAGTTATGCATTAATTTTCCTATGTGTAAGTAGTGAGAAGGATAAGCCCGGTGAACGGCCGACGTAGACAACACGAGCAGACGAGAATAACCAGTCAGCAAATGCGAGGAATTAGCCCAAAGTTTCGTGTTAGATAGAGACAAGAGATTAGTGAGAGAGTGGAATGTGAAAAGAGAGATGTTGAGCAATGCATTAAAGTTGAGAATTTAAGCCTAATAGAATTATTCTTCACATATACTTTGAGTAAGCAAGATATAATCTAAGAGCCTAACAATAACAAGAAGTATAGAGAAAATTAACGGACAGCAGGTAGTTGGCCGGCCACTGAAGCCGCTATTGAAGGACCAGACTGGTTAAGTCGCATTGAGCCCATGGCAACTGAAACTTCGATAGAGGTTCTACGGGAGTCGGGTATCCTATGGTTGATAGCAAGCAACAAAGGATCACTGCGAGAGAGAGTATGAATAGAATTGGCATGAACAAGGCTAGTTGAAAGAGAAAGGTGCAATTGAGCTAGGTCAGCTCCATCCATCAGCAGACTCTCGATCTGCTCATGTAGATCGGCCAGAGTGACCGAATATTGAGATGGATACGAAGTATACGCAGGAAATAAGGACGAGGTTGAGGATGAAGCAAAGGAAGAGTGTGGAGAGGAAGAGGAAGAGAAAGAAGCGGAAGAAGTAGATGAGGGGGAAGAGGAAGAATGAGACGAGGAGTGGAGTGGCGAAATGGGATTAGGAGAGGGCTTGGCTAGGGGGGCAGAATAAGTGTGAGAGAGCCGAGGCAAATGCTCTCGGCGCTCTGGAGGATCATCATCTACTCTAATGGAGTTCCGATGATCAGATAGGGGATGCCCAGGAGTCGGGGCTACCTGGATAGAGAGTACCGATGCCCTCTGGGAGCGAAATGGTTGGTTAAGATTAGGCGTAGTAAGTTCCGGCTCGAGCAAGCCGGCATATGACAGCGGTTTACCGAAGAGGTAGGACCAAAGTGTTCGAGGGACGCAGTCCTGCCTTAACTCTTTAGCCGAACCAAGAAGACGAGACCGAGGAGCTGAAAAATTAATGATTGAATTAAGTGCAATAGAAGAAAACAATTAGGAGATAATAAGATATGTAAATATAGGAAATGCCTTTGGATCCAGAGATCATCCAAGCACAATAGATGTGCATGAAGATAAAGGGCAGATTTATTCCAATCATCATGAAAT